GTTTTGTGTCTCTTTGTGGTCGTTTTGGGTCTTTGTGGTCGTTTTGTGTCTTTGTGGTCGTTTTGTGTCTCTTTGTGGTCGTTTTGGGTCTCTTTGTGGTCGTTTTGGGTCTCTTTGTGGTCGTTTTGTGTCTCTTTGTGGTCGTTTTGTGTCTCTTTGTGGTCGTTTTGGGTCTCTTTGTGGTCGTTTTGTGTGTCTGAGGTTGTTCAGTGTGTTTCCTGGCCGGGTCGACCACAGCGTAGCACTGAGGTGGGTACTGTGGGCATTTTCAATACAGGAAACCTGAACTGGTAGTTTGTAATTAGACATCAGAGCAAATGTGCTGCTGTTCAACTTAGAAGTAATCTGATTACTGTCAGTTAAACTACAGTTTAGACTCATTCAGGTGATGCTGGACGTTTGTTGTACACTGTAGGAACAGCAGTGAGGAGGAGCTACACTGGAGACGTCTGCAGAAACCTGTCGGCCGTCTGACATGAAAATGTTCTGACCCCACGGCAACAAATAGGAGCCGTTTCCATGACGATAATCAGTTAGTGGTCTGTTCACAATAGGAGCCAAAAGGAGATCCGGGTGTTTGTGGCTGGAACTATGATATCTGGAGCAATCTTTGGCATGCATGTGTGTATTCAGCTCGACACAACGAAGGAAACTCACAATAAGAACCACTGGTGTACAGCAGGTGTACGGGGACACGGCACCGTCTACAGGACATAGAAAAGAGAGAATCTGGACCCGGCAGGACCCCCGAATATGTAAACTGGAAATAAGAAACGATGTGTAAAAATACCAGACTGGTACAGGTAGTGTAAATCTGCAGTCTGTGTGCGTTCCTGCAGGTTGTTTTCTCCATGAGCACCTTTTCTTCACCGTGTCCGAACCCTAATGCCCGCGAGGAGCTCCGGTACCGGACGGAGACCCACCAGCGAAGCCTCAGCCTCGTCTTTGGCTCCTCTTCTACAGCAAATTTACAGGAATAAGTGAGTTTTTTTTTTTCTTCTCCCGACGTCCTCGGATCTCCGTCTCCTGAGCTGGACGTACCTGAAAGAAGGTCCACCTGTGTGCATGTGTTCCTGTAGCTTCCCTCCACTGAGCCGGCGGAGGGAAGTTTACAGACAACACCAACATGTCGACTGTTCGGATACTGTACAGCGAGAAAATACCAACGGGCAGCAGCCTGAGCTCTGCACACGGAAATAAATTAGATCAGTCCGTCGTCCTGTGAACGTCCACCAGCACTCACGTCACACAGTCCACAGTCTGCTGGCTCTGGGTGAACTGGGAGCTCTGGGTGAACTGGGAGCTCTGGGGTTTAGAGCAGCGAGCTGGTGGGGCTGCCGGGCAGCGGGGGGCTCTGGCTGTGGGAGGGACTCGGACGGACCGGCAGCAGGTCGTAGTGACTCGGGATGTGGCTGTTCCTGGGCAGGTCGTACGGGTTCTGAGGGTAACCAGGAACCACCACGGTACCAGAACCCTGCACGATGCTGATGGTCGGCTCTGGAGGAGAGACAGATAAATAAATGTCAACACCGGAATCTGGAGATCAGCCCTCCATCAAAAATACACACAAACAACATCAGAACATCACAGACAAGACAAACAGAACACAGCTGTCAGTGTCCACAGGGTCCGACATCAACATGAGCTGAGAGGCTGATGGAGAAGGAAGTTCTTCCTCTAGAAGCAGAACCTTAAAGCTCCACTTAAGTCTGCTGCTGGTCACATGGACAAAGAAAAGGCCTTCTGGAGGAAAGTTCTGGTCAGATGGAACAAACACTGAGCAGAACCGTGTCTGGAGGAGAGAAGGTGAGGCCTTTAACCCCAAGAACACCAAACCTGCCATCAAGCATGGAGGTGGCAGCATCATGCTCTGGTTCTGTTCTGCTGCCAGTGGACCTGGAGCTTTACACAAAGTCAATGGACCAATGAAGAAGGAGGATCACCTCCAGGTTGTTCAGGAAAACCTGAAACCATCAGCAGAAGGTTGATCTTGGACACAGGTGGATGTTCCAACCAGACAATGAGCCCAAACACACATCAAAGTGGTGAAGAAATGGTTCCATGAGGCTGGAATGAAGGTTCTAGACTGGTCTCCCCAAAGTCCTGACTGGAACCATCCAGAACCTGTGGACTGATGAAGGAACAAGTCTGAGTCAGAAAGACGACAAGTTTAGTTGAACTGCAGCGGTTCTGTCCAGAGGAGTCAGAGATGGACCAGAAGCTGGTGGACGGAACCAGAAGAACCCGACTGAGGAGAACATGGACGTCTAACCAGATGTTAGATGTTCCACCATCATCAGTAGAAAGATGTTCCACCATGCTGGATGTATCTCCACCAACTGGCTCCTCTGTTCTCTGGTTCTGATCCATGCTGCATGTATTTATTGACCCAGTAGGTTGGATGTTCCTCTCGGTCTCTCTGAGGAAACGTACCCATGTCGTAGATGTTCTTGGTGGGCGCCGTGGTGCTGGTCGTGGTGGTGATGATGGCGGCGGCGGCCGAGCAGCAGTGCGTGGCGTGCTCGTGGCGAGCCGGCGACTTCATCTCCACGTAGCTGCTCTCCGAGTGCTTGCAGAGCGCCGGCGGGTCGTTGATGGTGGCGTAGGGGTTCTCGCTGTTCAGGGAGCAGGTGCTGGACAAGGAGCCCTTCATGTAGTCTGGAACCAACACAGAGCTTCAGGTTAACGTTCAGGAAACACTCACATCTGCTCCAAGAGGTGGAAACACAAGCAGGCTGCTCTTTGTTCCAGGTGAAGGTTAAAACTCTGCAGCTTTTATATAAAACATGCTTTTGTGTCATTTCTGAAAGATTTCCTGCAAACTGTGAATGAACGAACGAAACGGGCCGCCTGGGTATCACAACGGTTACCACGGCAACCGCATTCAACATCAGCAGAAGTGATCGTGGAGGAACCAGGAATCAGAAACGAGCTGCTGCTGTGACTCTGGATGAAATAATTCACATGTACAGGATTCAGCTGGTAAACTACGAGGCTGGAGTTTGTCAGAAATGCATGAAAAGTTTATTTAATACGCAAAGTTTCTATTTTATTCCCACATCATAAGAAGACAAAGGCCTGGAGTGTTGCTTTTGTGTTTGAATTTAGGTTTCTGACCATTTAAGAGTCACAGCTCTGACGAGTTCAGTGTTTAATGAAGCTCACTGGTTCAGTCAAACAGCTGGATTTAGAGCATCTGGCGGGACTACTTTCTGCAGCGGATGAATCTAGAGATAGTTTATAACAGCAGCAGCAATAGATCACAGTTTGTGTTCATGCGTTAGACAACAACAGGGTGCTGTGAGTAAAACACATTCAGCAGAACTTTCATGAGATTAGATGAAAAGAGAAAAACATTTGGAGAAGAAACACACGTTAGACGTCACAGGTTTGACCAACACTCAGGTTAGAGACAATCTGTGAAGCTGCAGGAGACACAGGAAGAGCATTCGGTTAATGTGGAGGAGAGGTTCATCCTCAGGGGAGAAGACACACAGAGGAGAGGTTCATCCTGCAGAGACACGGAACACAGGAATCAGCAGGAATCAGCAGGAATCAGCAGGAATCAGCAGGTTTCTTTGCTCCTCATGCAGCCCAGCGAGGCTCCGTGTTCACATCAACATGCTTCATGTGGGGAGCAGCAGGTTCAGCTTCAGGGGAAAAATCTGTGGTGGAGGTTCAGGCGCTTCACGGAGCGACGGGATTGGCTGGGAGGTGCTGAGGTCAGCGGTACCTCTGTAGCGAGGCTCCAGGTGGTAGCTGTAGCGCCGGTCGATGCAGTAGACTCCTGCAGAAACACCAGAACCAGGTGAGGAAGGAAAGAAACGACTCATGTACGTCCACCAACTGACTCCATCACTGTTATTACAACAAAGGTTTCTTCACTTTAAAGCTCTAACAGCTGTTTCCCGTCATTAGTTTCCTTCAGTAACCTGATAAATCTGCACACAGGTGGTAAATCTGGACTGACCCATGTCGCTGAGGTTACAGTAGGCTCCCCACTCCGGAGCGCTGTTCCTGTGGCGCTTCTTCACCTTCATCTGGGAAAGAAATCAGTTCAATAAGGGTGGAAAGTATTACATGGTGGCTCAAATAGTAATAAAAATGTTGAAAAAATGATTAAAAATAAGAA